GAGTGCCCAAGCTTTTTTCCCCTTTCCAACTGGATTATCCTGGGTCCATTTGCTCTCTGTGTTTCCAGCCCTCCAGACACCCAGTTCAAACAGCCAGAGCTCAGCCCTGGGGCAGAAGAGGGCAGGTTCGCTGGGGAATGAAAGGGTGGTGGGATCCAGCAAGCCACCGAGCCGTGGCATATGGCCCTGTGGCTTTATGTCCCTATTTACGCAGGCCGTGCGTAAATCAGCAGCCGAGGAAGACCTCCATTGTGCCTTGCAGCCCCCGAGCTGGCCAAATCCACGAGTGGAGAAAGGTAGCCACTGCTCAGAAGCAATTTTTAGGGATGGGGCTGAGGGATCACCTCAGGGATCATCCCACCCGGATGGGCGCACACGCATCCTGATCCTGAGTGGGATTTGCAGCCATCCCGACTGCTGTGGCCAAGGAAAAGGAGCCAGGGAAGCTGCAGGGGATCAGTGGGGAGGCGGCGACCACTGGTATGGAGAATGGCACATCTCAACCACCGCACCTCCCGGCTGCACTTCAAGCCAGCCCTGGTCTACAGCAAACACTGCTTTCCTCCATCCAGCATCCAACTGAAGCCCCAGCAAAAGAAAGCTCAAAAAAAGTCCCTTTGGGCACTCCCTTGCTGCTTGTCATCCTCTTTGTCACGGCAAGTCGCTTTCTAAGGCACGTCCCCAAGAGTTCTACTTTGGGCACGGCAGAAGGCATCGTGTCCCACCACAGGGACGGAGTAGCATGGCCACCACCGACCCAGCGATGGGTGCACGGGTGGTGGGATGCTCACCAGCAGCCGCCTGCAGTAGCCGATCTTCCTGCTGCCATCCACGTTGGTCAGGACGAAAGAAAAGGTTTCGCTGCAAGGAGAGACAACGCATGGGGATGGGACGGCTCTTCAGGGGTAGCAGCCCTCAGGGGTACGACAGCACGGGGTGGGAAACCACGGCCAAGACCCCACAGCAGGGCAGGTACCTGGTGAACTCAGTGACGGGGGCCCAGGTGTTACCATCGGGGAAGCAGAAGAGGGGGATGGCTTGTAAGAGACGTTCCTCCTCCTCTTTCTGGCCCTTCAACAAATTTTCACGCTGGAACGAAACGATGCCAAGAGTCAGGGTGATGGAGGGTGCCTATAGCCCCAGGGGATGGGCTGTGTCCCAAAGCAATCCCTGGCTCAGACCGAAGCAGAAGGTGCCTGCACATCCCTGGACAAGCATCTCCCAAAAATCCAGTTTTTGACTCTTTTACCCCATGGACACTGGGACAAAGCAGAAGCACCCAGGGGCCCCTCTGCAAACAGGAGCTTCTTCCTTTGGCACCTCCCCACGGTGTGATTTCGCTGACGTGGTCTCCCTTTTTGGGACAGAAGACCAGGGAGCACCTCGGGATTTTCCTCCTGGGGTTTGTGTCCTGGGGCTCAGACCGCAGGGAGGGACAGACGGTCCCAGCAATCCCACCCCGAGGCAGGCAAAGCCCTGTGGTTTGGGTCTGCGATGCCCGGGCACAGCGCATTTTTCTGTTCTCCTCCCTCAGCTCGAGTAACGGGGAAAGAGGAACATCCCCTTTTCCTCTAAATTCAGCAAAAACTTATCTTCCTGGAAACACGGGACTAAATACCTTTGGGAATTGGTAGGTTATCTTGGGTTCATAATGTCCATCTGACATCTTCTTCAGTGACACCACCACCAGGTACTCAAAGAAAAACTGGCCAGCAGAATAGAGGACGGAGCTCCGCTCTCCCGGTTTTCCATGTGGCACCTGCGAGGGGTTGTTTTCTGCAGCAGAGGCCTCCTCTTTTCCTTCTGTAGCCAAAAAAAAAAAAACCAACCAAAAACCCAGTAAAAAAACAGAGCAGAGTGAAATGAAAGGCCAGGAGGTGTCCTGATGGCAGGAGAGGAGATTGCAGAAGCTACACATGAACCAGCCAAAGTGGCTGGAGGGAACCAGGAGCTGGTGCACAGGGTCTCTTGGTCCCCGACAGAGAACACCTGGGGATACGCCAGCACAGGACATGGAAAAGAAAGAGAAATGGCTTTTATGAGTCTTTTGGGGAAAATCAAAGTGCCATCAGACACCCCCAGCCCTCCCTCGCCCCAACCCAGCGAGCACAGAGGGATGCACAGAGCGAAGCTTGCACGCGGGATGGCGGAGAGCAGATGCTCTCTGCAGAAAGCATCTGCGGGAAGGTGTGGGAATGCTTGTATAGCAGTTAATTTTATTCCCTTAGGGGAAAAAACCATCAAACAAACAGCACAGATCTTGTTCGAGCACCTCCAAAGGCTCCAACAAGATGACTCCCAACCTCTCCCTGCCAGATGTCCTCAGTCCTGGGAACTGCTGATTGCAAATGAGATACTCGAGCGTTTTCCCTAAACCACAGATCCCAAAGCAAAGCAATTCCGTGAGATTATATCCCATTTCTCGTTCGGCCGGTTGGGGAGGAGAGCTGGGGAACATCAGCTGTCACAACCCGAAAAACTAGAAATAAGAGTGAAAAGAGCCCAAGCCGACAGCTCCGAGGGCCCTGGGATGGTCGTGGTGGGGCAGCCAGTGCCGAGGGCTCGGAAGGAGAGGAGTTAAATGCCGGTGGGAGGCTGCAGCCAGGCCATGCCACAGCTCTTCCCTCTCCCAGCAGCCGCTTGCGACTCTCTAAATCCCCAGTTCCTGGCACTGAAACTGGCCCGGGCTTGGTCTTGGCTCTGATTATGGCAGGGAGCTGGAGCAGAAACACTTGAGCTGCTCCTAGGAATAACAGGCAGGAAAATAAAATGCGTGGCTGGAGTAAATTTTTCCCCGCATCCAGGGGCTTGGCCCTGGGCTCTTTCGGTTGTGCCGCAGCTCGGCAGTGCAAGGAACGGCCGTGGCCAGCTGCTCTCCTCATCCCTCTCCCTCGTGTGCAACATCCTCCTCCAAAAGCAGTGCCAGCGGACACCGCACCCCGCGTATCCCCCCGACTATTCCCTTTAGTCTGGGAACACCTTTCCAGCCTTCGCTTCAGGTCATTGGGAGCTGACAGGAGCAGAAAGCTCATCGGAGGAGCTGACACTCACAGTCCCATCACGGGATGTCCCTTCCCAGGGACCAGAAACACCTTTCCCTGCTGGGGTGGGGAGGTGCAGGAAGCCGCCCCTGCGTGCACCCCGAGGTCGCTCCACCTCCGCATGCAAAGTCCTTCCTCTTGGCGAGGCAAAATTCATCCTGAAGAGGTCCCTTCCCAGCAGGGGGAAGCCCAGGAGCATCCCAAGGACGAGATCCGGCTGCAGATACCTCTGGTTTGTCCTCGGTGGGGATCACCCGGGTGACAGCCCAGCACAAGGTGCTCCAGGCCAGGGAATAAAGGTCGACAAGATGTGCTTTGTTTCTCCTGCTCCTCCTTGGGACGCTCCAGCAATGGCTTCAGCGGTTCAATCTCACCTACGGGGCCAGGGCAGGAGGTTGCTGCTGGGGGGGACCCCAGGGAACCGGGCTGTGCAGTGGGGAGGGCTGCTGGCATCGGTTGTTTTCCCATCGCAGATTGCCAGGGTAAGGTGAAAGTCC